AAGAGAGAGAATTCTAATAAAACGCTTTGCTAAAGGCATTCCCTTTTACCATCCCTAAACTTGGCAGGCTTTTTAGGGAAAGTCAACTACAAAGTTAACTTTTTTAAACCAAATTTTCAAAAATTCTTACACAAAACCCTCTCCTCTAATGGATTGCCCGGCTCTCTCATTAGGGTCACGAAGTGCACACTATACGGCGGACGGGTATCAAACACTGAAGTACAAACTTTTTAATTTCTTCTTTAAATTCTAGTTAATCTCGTCTAATACTACGAATCAAATTTACTGCGATATCAGAGTCCTCTTTCTGTGCATATAAATAAGTATGACTACACATCATTACATGGCCTTCTCAATTTCCTATAAGCCAAGATTACTTTAATTAATGCACCACCTTAACCATGATGTAGGGAACACAGAATAGAATCTTATGAGCTTAGTGCTTATATAAATTAACCAAAAAACATGCTTTTTAATCTAAACTAGTGGAGGATATAGATGATGATACTCAAAAGATAATGCAAAGTGTGAAGCATTTTAAGTCTGCTTTCTATGATACTTTTTCTCTCATAATAATTATTTTAAGGACCTGCGTTGCCATGCATATCCTTTACAGTAAATCAAGTTTTTGAGTATAACTTTCCTTAATCATGATGTCACATGTGTGCTTATCATCAAGTCAAACCTAATCCATGCCCATCCACATATGGAGGGTCCCTTGTTATATGTGTGTGTATAGCAATGACATGTAGAACAAGTGCGGTTGGAGTGAGCATGAGATACTACTTATAGTTGATCGAATGTCACATGTAAATGAATAGCTCAACAGAGTTTGTAGTAGCTACGTACTAAGTACAGAGTCCAAAATAAAATAGTGAATGTTACTATCTATTCAATAATAATAACAGGTTCGCCAATCTGATTTAGATTCAAAATATCTTCATTTGAAGGGTTTAAATAAGATTAATGTTCTTGTTGAGTCGTATTTATCTTGTGCACCAAGAATTTCATGAATATTAATATTCAAAGTAATTAGGTAAAAGGTGATCTAAACGAAAATAGTGTCACCTAATACTCAATTAGATTTTATTGGTAGGGCTATTCTCTAGCACGAGATGCAAAATTGATTGATTAGACATCCGTTGACAATTTTTGACATAAAGATTAGTTATTTCAACCTTAGTCAATTGCTTGATAAATGAAAAGATGTATTTGGTTGGAAATAATTAGCCTCAAAATATTAAGTCATCATAAAACAAGTAAAAGGTTAAGAATTTTCATTTAGAAAAAGATGCAAAACTTGTACAACTCCAATATCTTTGGTAGCGGTAGATGTAGCAATAAACAAAAAGAAGTTAAAATCTGATTAATTATACTCGATCACATTATTAACTATATAGTCTTATTCAATAATATTGTATATCAAACGTGCACCTCACATATACTTAAATATCAAATCATTCATGTGGTTTGTTACCATCTATTTTTGTTCTTAAAATTTCATGAAAATTTAAATTTAACGAAAATTTTCTACCAGGGTTAAAAATTTGGAAAGAGGAAAATCTCTTCTAGATTAATTTTACCTCTCATTCATTTAGAAGTTTCATGCTATATATATATATATATATATAGGCCCATATTGTTTTAAAGTAAAACTTAAGCCCAAAGTACAGTCCATTAACATCCGCACATTTATTTGGACCTTCTGAAACAATTGAGTTAGCGGACAATGAGTTGGTAGTCCATTATTTTGATCCACAAAGGCAAGTCCATTTACTTGAGGAAAAAAAAAAATCACAAATACGAAAACATTTAACAAACTTATAAAAAATAAAAATAAAATCAGGTGATATATAAATATATATTGTATGTTTATTAATATTCAACTTCCTATAGAACATGAAAAAAATGAAGATGAAAGCTGGATCACATTTTTTTTGAAATTCAACTTATCAAAACTCAATATATAATAGAGAGCTTTAAGTGGGTTTTTTTTTCCTCAAAACTAAACAAATACAAATCAATCTGAAGAAGTGATAGTTAAAATTTCAAAAAAGAAAAAAAAAATGATTGCCTCAATTTTTCATACTCTCTTTGAATAAAGTAAATCAGGACTTTATCTAGTAAAAAAGAATTATTCAATAAAAGAAAAGACCACTAAAATTAATATATAATTGGAATAAAGGGTTGAGAAAGTCAAATACCACCCAAAACTGGTATCAGAGTCCCGATTATCAACGAGTCTCAGAGCCAACATTCATGGGAGACGAGTTTGATTTCATCCCTGGCTCGTTGTGTGAGGGGAAGACGAGTTTGATCTCTCACAGGGCTCGATGTGTGAGAGGGAGACGGGTTTAGTCTCTCACAATGCTTGATGTGTGAGAGGAAGATTGTTGAGATTGTCCCACATTAGTTGTGGAAGGGGCTGGTGGCCAATTTATATATATTAAATAGAAAGATATAATAAAAAATCCCCAACGTTCAGAGTTTATAGAATCACGATCACAAAACCTATTCAATTTCATCAATAGCAGAATGTCTATTGTGTCCAGTTTTTGGCTTTTGGAATTGAAGCACGAAATTATAATACAAGGTGGCAATTCCATCAACATCTTGTGGTTCTTCATCACTAATTTTTGCAGCACCTCTCTTTCCTGTCTTTGAGCAGGATAGATCAATTTTTTTGTTGATATTATTGAAATAGTTTTAAAGTGGTTATTTTCAGTTCACCAATTATCCCTTGAAAAAATCTGAGGGTAAATTGTCTGATATATTTATATTTTTTAAGAAACAAAAATATCAAGGAAAATATATGTAAACTAAATGAAAGAGAAACTAGGGTAAAAGTTAATACATGATAAGTAAGAAAATGCATGCGTAATGAATATGTGAAAAGAATAATACTATCCATGTTATGGGTAGAAAAAAAATATAAATTGATAGAAATAAGTTATGGATATGTGAGTAATACTTGTGGGTCATTTGCGATGGTACTCTTCGAAAAATAATGATTCTTTTGTAATAATATTTCAAATAAAATGCATTTTAACATCAATATAGTATTTTTTTAATTAAAAAAAAATATTTCACATAAATGACTAATACCTTGAGTATTTGAATAAACATATAATGAATGAGTTCGTTATTCCAAATAACAAACCTTTTAATTAAAGTGTTTATTTTATAGCTTCATTAGCAGTAATTTATTCAATTTCAGTAATAGATAAATCAGCTATTAATTGTAGTTGGAATTATCAACTCACACGAATGCCACGCTTTGGTCTATGAAAGCTCTTCTACCATTATCGTAAGTAATTTCGCTTAGTTGGAACAAAATTACACACTTTTGTTTGTTTTTTCTAGTCAAGATAGATATTAGGTTGGGTGAAACACTAAAGTAATTTCGTCTGCGAACTCAATATTTTCTTTCGTAGGAATGAAAGAGACAAAGACACAAACAACATGAATGTTATTAGGTTGAATGATAAAACATACGACTTTTTGTGCACGTGTATAGTTTGTGGATCAATTATGTTTTCTAAATGTTGAGTTAGACGAAATTAACTATCATATAAAAAAATATTTTATTAAAAAAATGTATAATTGAAAATGAGTTCAAAGAATGAATGAATTAAAAAAAAAAAAAAAAAGTTCCGAACAATGGCTCGATAGTTATTAGACAATACAAAAAATGTTGTGCCAATCCATAAACGGTGGGGGTGCGGGGTGCACTGTTTAGCTGCGGCCCGTCCATCGAAGCTGGCTTAGCGCTAAAATGAGCTGCAGCCAACGACGCTATCCTTCACGGGCCCCAAGGTGAAAAACCAAAACGGGCGCTAATTTTACCGGTGTACGTTAAGGAAACTACCTTTAAATAATCTATCTCGCGCATCGTTGAATTTCCCCCAAATCTCAAAACATAGTCCCCCTCAAGGCTCAAGGGCTTCAATCCAGAGGTCCCTGTTTCTCAGACCCAATCTCTGGTGTTTTTTCACTCGAAACCTTCTCGATAAAATTGAAGCTACAGGTTTTTCTGCCCTTTTTACTTTCGTTCATTTATGCCTTTTGAATTGTTCTTAGTTTACTTTGGTTGTTTTAGGAAGTAAACAAAATCAGTGCAGTTCCATTTCACAGAAAGAGACTCGGGAAAATTTGAACTGAAGTTTTCATTTATGGTCGTTTTCAATTTTAATAGTGCAATGCAGTAGCCTTGGATTTATTTTTGTGTACTTCAATTACAAGGGATCGAGTCTGGGTGAATTTTTGGTGGTATAATGAAGGATGTGGAATTACCGAAGTGGCTTAAAGGGTTGCCAATGGCACCTGAATTCCGACCAACGGACACGGAATTTGCTGATCCCATTGCGTATATATCCAAAATAGAGAAAGAAGCCAGTGCTTTTGGTATATGTAAAATAATTCCGCCATTGCCTAAACCTTCAAAAAAGTACGTTCTTTATAATTTAAATAAGTCCCTTTCCAAGTGCCCGGAATTGGGTTCTGATCTAAATCTCATTACTAAGTCAAAAACGGATAATGCTGATAAGGGAAATCATAATGTCAATGAGAGTAGGGCGGTATTCACTACTAGGCACCAAGAATTGGGTAGTGAGAAAGGGAGAAAGGAGAAGGGGGTGGGATGTCAGGTATCCGGAGCTCAAAAGCAAGTTTGGCAAAGTGGGGAGGTTTATACATTGGAGCAGTTTGAAGCAAAGTCGAAGAATTTTGCTAAGGGTCAGTTTGGCATGGTGAAAGAGGTGAATCCATTAATTGTAGAGGCAATGTTCTGGAGAGTGGCTTCTGGTGAGAAGCCAGTTTATGTTGAGTATGCAAATGATGTGCCTGGTTCAGGGTTTGGTGAGCCAGTAGGGTCACTGCGGCATTTTTATAGACATAAGAGGAGGAGGAGGAGGAAGAGAAAGTCCTTCAATCGGAATAATTTAGGAAGCTCTGATAGCAAGGATGATCATGTAGATGCGTTGAACAGTGGTAGTATAGATAACGTTTCAGACAACCAGAAAGATATTGGTTCATGTAAAGAAACAGCATCAAATTCATTACCATCTATGCAGTCACATCAAGCTGAGTCTTTTTCTGGGCACAAGGATTTAAACTGTATTGGTGAGATGGAAGGTACTGCTGGTTGGAAGCTTTCAAATAGTCCTTGGAATTTACAAGTAATAGCACGATCAGCTGGATCGTTGACACGTTTTATGCCAGATGATATCCCTGGTGTTACTTCTCCCATGGTTTATGTGGGAATGCTGTTCAGCTGGTTTGCTTGGCATGTTGAAGATCATGAGCTTCACAGCTTGAACTTCCTTCACATGGGCGCTCCGAAGACTTGGTATGCAGTGCCAGGAGACTATGCATTTAATTTTGAAGAAGTAATTCGTCTTTATGGTTATGGAGGAAACACTGACCGTTTGGGTATGTGAGTGCTTTCTAGTAAATATGCGATCAACATCATAAAAAACAAGATGACATAGATGACGCTGTCAATTTTTCCTATGATTGCAGTGGTGCAGATAATTCTTTTCATTTTTGTTTCTTGAAACATCCATTTTCATGCCTTCGGAAACTCTATGGGTTGTTAATTTTTCTGTACCACAATATGAAGAATATAATCCTCACTTCCATAGTTTGCTCACACTGTTATTGCTTGAAAGCATGACGTCCAGCTAGAAATTGCATGCCTTTACAGTTAATATGATTCAGTATTTGCTGTTCTTGGACACTCTTTTCATTATCTATTATCAAAATGGATAGCAACTGCATAAGAAGTGGTTGTTTGCATAGGGCCGCAGACAGAACTAATACTCTCTATTTGTGACCACTGACCTGTGAGGTTCATCTATTACTTTTATTCTTTGATTTTTCTGTTTTGCATGTCTAGTTGGGTATGCTGATGGGGTTCTTATCAAATTTGAAGCAAATAGGACCTGACAACATTTTGTATGTCTTTGTATAGTGAATGAACTACTGAATTGTAAGCTAGAATATCAACCCTTCTACTTCTTGCCAAGATGGTTACTTGGCCTTGTTCAGTGTCGGCCCTGACTATAGGCGGGGTAGGCAATCGCCTAAAGTCTCACTTCGGTGAGGGCCCCAAAAAAATTATTATTTTTTATTTTACATGTATTTTTACCTATATATAGGTCCCATTGTAGACATTAAAAATAAATAAATAAATAAATAAAATAAAGAAAATGGATTGGGTCGGTTTAAATCATTAGCCCAATTAAATTTAAGTCTACTAAAATTCATAAAATCTAAGGGCCCATACCAAGTTTTAAATAAATAAACAAACAAATAAAATAAACAAACTAATAAATAAAACTATAATTACTCAATTATCTCTTTTAATTAAATATAATTGGGTAATTACCAAAATTAGCACAAATTTTCTCCTATAAATAGGATCAATGGTCCATAAAATAGGAGAAGAAGAGGTGGAGAAGAAGCAAGAAAGAAAGCAAAGAACGCCACAAAGTGCTGAAAAAATTTCAAGATCGAAAGAAGGCAAGAAATTCTCTCAAATCTAAATTCGGTGAATCCCAAGAAGATTAAAATCTTCTTCGAATCAAACAGGTTCACTCAAGTCCAAGATCAAAGTCTTCTTCAAATCAAATCAAATTCAAGTCCAAGTCCAAGTCCAAGCCTTAAGATTCAAGTTCCGAACAAGTCAAGTCTCGATAAATCAAATTTTCAACATATTCTCGGAGACTAGGATTCAAGCCATGTGGCACCTCGTCTTCAAATATTCAGGTCATTAATCAGAAGATTTTTGCAATTTTGTAATTACAAGAAAGTTAACATCACTTGTATTTATCAAAGTACAATTTGTAACGATTTCTATATTTTAATACACGAAATTTTGTCATACAAATTTCTTGGCACGTCCGGTGGGACCTTTTGTTCTCTTATTTTTGATCTCAAAATATTCAAGTTTCAACTATTATAACAGCAATGGTAGACGAAAAGGCAAAACAAACTATGACTTATCTCGAAGAGATACTTGCTGAACTCTTCCACGCGAACAGGGTCCAAACAAAAATTGGGAAAACTCAACTGGTCACACCACTATAGAAGTTCTCCAACAAAGGTAAAATGAAAATTGCCTTCAAGAAGTCAAATTCTCATTCGACAGAAAAGACCATGAGTTCAGCGAAAAGTTCTCGTTCAGGCTCCATCTCCAGTGGTAGATCCTTGTCTGGATCCCCTCATGCCACTTCTCAGCAAAAGTGGGAAGATGATGTCTCATATGAAGAATCACTTGAGCCAGTGATGGTCACAGAAGCGGCATTGGACTCAGATAACCGAATTCAACAAATGACTTTAGCCATTGAAAAATTAGCAAAGTCGTTGGAGGACAAAGATGCACAGATCGCTGCACTCATACGCAGGCTAGAGTCGCAAAATCCACCGACTAAAGAAGATCAGGAAAATTCAGGATCTTCCAAGGCCAAAGAGTTAGAAGTCCAAGAGCGCCAACAAAAACAAGATATGCATGATCGGACAATTGTTCAAAACGTATTGCGTGACACCACTCAATTCTCCGTTGGCTCTTTGTCCGTCTAACAACTTCAACATATGATTGCAGACACCATTCGTGCCCAGTATGGTGGTTCCTTGCAATCTTCACTTGTGTATGCCAAGCCTTATAGTCGTCGAATAGACGAAATAAAGATGCCACTCGGTTACCAACTTCCGAAGTTTCAATGTTTTGATGGAAAGGGCAACCCAAAGCAACATTTTGCTCATTTTATTGAGACGTGTTACAATGCAGGTACTTATAATGACACTATGGTGAAGCAGTTCGTACGCTTCCTCAAAGGTTCTGCATTTGAATGGTACATGGACTTATCGACAGGGTCAATTTATAGTTGGGATTAGCTCGAGCGAGAGTTCCTAACACGCTTCTATAGCATTCGACAAACAGTCAGCTTTCCAGAACTTGCTCGAACAAAACAGAGCAAGGAAGAGCCTGTTGTGGAGTACATTGAACGCTGGAGGAACCTTGTGCTTAATTGCAAAGAACGAATAAGCGAAGCATCTTCCATCGACATGTGTGTACAAGGTATGCATTGGGGATTACTCTATAATCTCCAAACAAATATGCCTCATCATTCGAAGAATTGACGACACGTGCTTATGACCTGGAGCTCCAAATTGCAAGGCATGAGAGTTACTTACCGAATGATTCACGTGACAAGAAAGATCCTAAGAAGGAGATAAAGAAGGACGCCAAGGCAAGTAAGTCCATAGAACTTATGGTGATTTCTACTGTCCCTGCAAAGATAGCCTTCCAGGGGTCGAGCTCGAACCCAAAACTGAAGCCAGAGTTTAGACCTAACAAAGGACAAGTCCAGAATAGAGGTCATGTGATTTTGAAAGAACTTGAAGGAAAGGAGTACTCATTCTAAGATTTTGAAGTTTCTGGAATTCTGGATCAGCTCCTTGAACAGAAGATAATCGAATACCTAGTTTCAAAAAGACCCGAGGAAGTTGGTAAGATTGATCATTCTAAATACTGTAAATTTCACAGGATCATTAGTCATCCAATGGAAAAATGCTTTGCCTTGAAAGATCTTATTGTTCGCTTAAACAAAGAAAATAAGATCAAATTTGAAACTGGAGAAAATTCAACAGTCGCCCGCTCAATGGTTTCATTTGGATAATTTGGTCTAATTCCCGTTCCAGGAAAGAAACAAACATTCTCTGATGTATACGATGCCTGTAAATCCTCAGTTAAGGAGTTTGGACCTCAACTTTCAGAAGGAGTCATCCCAGTGAAGTTTGAGGTAGACGGAGAAATCACTATCAATTACGTCTATCTGGGGATGGATAGACCAAATGCACCCAATCGTCCAACCTTTTATTAAATTATGATAGGTGATTTGGATGTTTGGGATTCTGACTTAGAATCTGAAGACGAGATCAGTAACGGCTGGTCCACCTTCATAAAGAAGAAAGAGAAATACCGAATGTCAAACAAAACAGGTAAACTATTACCTTCTACGCCTCTTGCAAGAATAGAGTTGGAGGATTGGGTATAAAAATTCAATCCAATAAAGAGGAAACGTTAGAAGAAAATCAGGGGCATGGACCCTTGTGAAAAGACGTTGTCAAAAGGCTCTACAACTCCCAAGTTCTAATGTTTGTGACAAAAAATCAAGACCAAGGAACAACCGAAGAAGGTCTAAAGTCAAATGAAGAGGATTCACTAAATTGATGGGGGTAGAAGCTGCTTCACGTGTTCCTCCCAGACTGTCAACTTTGGGTGATTATTTCCCCAAGAGTTTATTTGATAAAGAATATTTCACCTCCAATGTAATCAGTGTAGAGGAGAAAAATGAAATGAATAACGTATCAAGATATACTTCAAAACAGAAGAAAACTATCTCACGGCTCAATAATATTCCTGTCAATACGAGTCTAGCAGAGTCTCTTAGTTTTCCTTTCGATGATCAAATGGCTTTGGTCGCAGCTTTAATTGATTCGGAAGGAAAAGTTCTAGAACATACTGGATCCACAACTCCTCAAAACCGTATGGTCGCCATAACATTTGACGATGAAGATTTACAACTGGGTTCTCGTCCACATAATAGACCACTGTATGTGAGTGGTTATATTCAAGAATGGAAGATAAATCGCATAATGATCTATTGTGGATCTGCTGTGAATATTATGCCGATCAAAACAATGAAGAAAATTGGAATTAATATTAGTAATCCATCTAGAAGCAAGATTATGATTCAAGGATTCAATCAGAAAGGTCAGCGAGCCATTGGCATGATTCGCTTGAAGCTGCAAATAGGAGAGTTAATCTCCTCAGCTCTCTTCCATGTCATTGATGCTAAAATATCATACGAGTTACTCCTTGAACGTGTTTGGCTACATGAAACTGGAGTGGTACCTTCCACTTAGCACCAATGCTTCAAATATAGCCGAGATGGAGAAGTTAAATGTATGATGGTTGAGTGTAAACCATTCCTTGAAGAAGAATCCCATTTTGCTGATGCCAAATTTTACATGGAAGATGAAGAGTGCAATTCTGCAGGGTTAACCATGTCTGGATTCAAAATCAAAGAAGATGCAAATGATCATGATACGTCTACTGCTACTCAATCTCATCAACTTATCAAAGGCAAATCAAAATTTACATTCGAAGGATTCTCTAAAGGCAAAAAATCTCAAATAGAATTAACCGATGTTGAGGTATTGAGAAAAGAGTTTAACTCTTCCAATACCTAGTATTCTAAAATTGCTTCTACCCCATCAACTCATGGCGGTCTGAGAGGAACATAAACCTACATCAGAGGCTTTGACATCCGTTCCAGATATATCAAAGCTTTGTATTTCTAGCTCGTCCAAACAAGAAAGAGCTCCTGAATCAAAACAGACTTTTCAAAAGATGTTACAATCTT